TGTCAATCATCAAAATCGAACGAGGGGGCCAGAGATATGGAAAATGCACCCAAATGACCCCAGAAGTGGGTTTTTTCTAAATCTCTCTAAAAAGGTCAAATGTCACTTGTTTTGCATCAATCTTGATACAGGGTACTTATTATATGTTATAGTTTGGATTCCTAAAGCTTTTAGTCTCCGATCCCATCATTCAAGGGTGGTTTTGACTATAATGCGGCTTTCACACCAGCGCTTTTCCCTTTCTAGCTCCGAGCGAGAGCTTTTCTGGTTCAGCTCCCGTTTCCCTTTTCAGCTCCCGCTCTGTTCACACTGCCCAGAGCTGCCGCTGCTGCGTCATGACGTCACAGTTTACGTCGCTGATTTTCTCCCACAACAACAACGGGCCGGGGACTGCGTCGGGTCGATGATCGTGTTGCTTTTAATCATATGAAGCCAGATTAAATTAAATAACGACTTCTCCAACCTTATACTTTTCTCCAGAGTGCCGTGGTTCATTGTTTATTAATGTGTTTCAGCGGCATTTAGCGACCGCTGCAGTGCTGACTGCTCTTCCACGGTAGTTTATTCTCCCGTTAGCTCCGGGTTAGCTCACACGGCTCTAAAGTATTCACTGTCTGACCGTCACTCAAGCAGCTGATACATATCCCCAGTTCCCCTTAAGTGAATGTGTGTCAGTCTGAATTGACGCTGTTTGGCAACACAACGCTGTTATGAAAGTTTCTCTGGTATAACATGGGTGATGTTAGCATAGCAACCGAAGCTAAACTGACTACTTGCTAAGCCGTTTTCTACAGCGACATTTTACCGGCGTATTTTTCATTATGATTCTACTTCTGATAGTCGGACATGACAACCTGTGCAGCCCATGTATTGATTCCATCCGATAGCTGCTATAATAACAAACAAAACGTCTGCCTGCTCTCCACAATGATCAATGACAGCGAATGGATGGTCAAAGTAAGGTTTCCTGCACGCCTTGACGTAAGAGACGTAAGCGACGCCGCGTCATAGCTCCGAAGCTCTTGCCTCTGGACCGACAATTTTTTGGAGCTGGAAGTGAACCTTCCATTCCGGAGCTATGAGGCGCCGCCGCCTCTTGGACGGACACTATAATTTACAGTTTTTTGCCCTTAAGCTTTAGTCTGTAAGTCTGGGAATATGAATATGCTTACAGCCTCTACATCTGCTGTGTGTGAGAGTGTGTGTGTGTGTGTGTGTGTGTGTGTGTGTGTGTGTGTGTGTGTGCGTGCGTGCGTGCGTGCGTGCGTGCGTGCGTGGGTGCGTGCGTGCGTGCGTGCGTGCGTGCGTGCGTGCGTGCGTACGTGCGTGCGTGTGTGTGTGTCTGCTAGTCACTCCCTATCAGTAAAACCTGAAACTCATCGCAGTAATGCTCTTTATGACACTAAAACGAGGGGAAGTGTCTTAGTCTGTGCAGTAGGAGACCCTTTAACAGCAATACAATCCTCCCTTTACACATCTGACTTAAAAACCCCCTTGTCATTGTTTCTGAATCACGGTCGCAGGAATCTTTTGACTAAATTCCTGTGTCTGACGGGCAAAGACAATTGAAATGTCAAGCATACATTCCCAAAGAGAACAAAGCGTTATTCCCTGTGTATGATGAATGTATTTCCTCTGGATGTAACGGAGGTCTGCTTCTGCTGCACTGACGCTCAGGATTTAGCTCCTGCGGTGTTGAGGCTTAACTCATGACCTTGTGGAAAGAGCTGCAAAGGCGAGGGGAGGTCTGCAGCCTTTCAATAACAATATACTGTAGATATCACTGTTATGCAAACTGCTGCATTTCCCTTGTTTACCAAATATACATCTGCCGAGGATAATGTAGGATTGCATTCATTGATTTTGAAGCAGCTCTATTTTATGTAGCTTTGTTTATAGGGCTAATAGACCATAGAATATATGATTGCATTCTCTGCATGGTACAACAGAATATATTGTGGAAATAACAGAGGGTAGACGATATAAATCCTTGTGCTACATATAAACAAGGTTAATGTGCAAATTAATCGTTTTTGTAAAGGCTTATTTATCTTAATAAAAAGGTTTCTGAGAACAAAAGATTAATATAAATCTAAGTAGCTTACATATCTTTTGCCTAGTTTATCTTGGATGGCACAGACATTATATAACTGTAATGGATTTATATATAAACATAATGCATATTATTAATAGATAATGAAAGTCTAGATTATATATCTAAATACTGTGTTCATGTAATTGCGGACCTATCCTTGAACATCCGGCTGTATAGCTTATAATAATATAAGCAATAATAAGCAAAAATTGGTAAACTGAGTGTCTTCTTAATTAAGGCTGTTTGGTAACACATACTGTATTGATGCAACATATAGTAATACAACTCTGTTTGACTGAAGCCTTGTCAAGACATCATGTTAATATCCAGGATTTGGTGCCCTAAAAATAGACTATTAAGAGCAGGACAACTGAACTGCTATTAGATCATTTCCAGTGCAATGTATTAATGTTTCCGCTACTAAGGGCTTCTCTGCATCCTTTCAGTAATGAGGTGAAGGAGATTCCTGTCACTGTGTTTCCGGAGAGAAACACTCAAAATGACATGAATCACTGTCACAGCTCACACTGAGACACGTAGCCTTCACAATCAGCCATGTCCTTGCCCTAAGACAAACACACACATACACACACACACACACACACACACACACACACACACACACACACACGCACACACGCACAAACACACACACGCACACACACACAGCTCACACTGAGACACGTAGCCTTCACAATCAGCCATGTCCTTGCCCTAAGACAAACACACACACACACACACACGCACACACACACAGCTCACACTGAGACACGTAGCCTTCACAATGAGCCATGTCCTTGCCACTAGACAAACACTCACATGTCCTCACAATCCAAAAGGTCCTCACAATAATAGCTGGTCAGTAATTGGTCTTCGCAAGAAAAGGCTAGATCAAAACATGCACACGCACCCACACACACACACACACACACACACACACACACACACACACACACACACACACACACACACACACACAGACACACACACACACACACACACACACACACACACACACACACACACACAAAACCATAGGAGATACGTGCCTAAAAGCCTAATACCTTAACATAACCTGAAACTGATCCTCAAATCAAATCTAGAACCAAAAGGTCCTCACAACAATAGCTGGTCAGTAATTGGTCTTTGCAAGAAAAAGCTCGATCGAAGCATGCACACACACACGGTGCTCTATGTGTGTGTATGACATGCTAAAAATAGCCGTTATGACTGCGATCAGTATTGCCAGAGAAACAGCTTTCTGCATTCCCACAGATCCAGATTGTTAACACTTGGCTACGTTCAGAGACAGTGTGTCACAACCTATGAATACAAATCAGAAGAAGACACGGCGAGGAATCTTATGTTAGAAATTCAAGTAATCGAGTTTAGGGATTAATGGAGGCACAGAGCATGAAATAAAGTGCTGTTTTTATTCACATTTATATAGTTGGTTGCATGTTTTACTGTTGGTTATTATTTAATTAAGAAATAAACCTTTTGACTCGAAGAAGCCGCATTTACAATTGGGGAAAAAAGCTCAGCTTGAATTCCCTAGCCACACATTCATGTTGTTTTCTTTGAAGAACGGCATTTTAAGATTAGCTCTTTTATCGGGTTTTACACAGCTCTGCAAAACCTCCAGCTTCAAGCCTCATTTGTCATATTCTGAAGTTTTAATTCTATAAGACGAATACAAATCTTCCTCCTGGAATACAGAATAAAGTTTTCTTTATCCCACAATGTTCAATTATCTTGAAACGGCTCGGAAAAAATGGAAGATGACACTGGGGTTTAAAAAGTGAAAGTGATTTACATTTGAAACAAGTTTAATCATCTTGCCAGCATCTGGTTTGGGAAGATATAAGAATTTTCGGCAGAGTGAGTCACTGTAATGCCTTAAATCAAGATACAATTCACAGACAGCACTCTCATTCTCTGATGCCTAGCTTTGATAGCTGGAACATTGACAGAAACACACCAATATATTCCATTTCTTTGCCCTATATATTTTTTGCTTAATATCCATTCTAGGGAACAAAATTGAATTGAAGCAGATGTTCAAATATATTTGTTTTTCTCTTCATCTCTGTCATCTGCTCTATTTTAAGAAAAGCCTCTTATTGAAGTTCTTCTGAATCCATAAATGTCAGAAATACAGCGGAGACATGAAGGAATGAATCTGTGCAACGTCTACAATCCACAGAAGCTTGTAGAACATGTCCATTTGACACATTTGACTGTAAAATGATGCTGACTGGTGCCAGGAGAGACACAGAATAACAGCATTCACTGCACTACCATGTACTTTAACACAAAAAACTGTGTTAGATTACTGCTTTCACACACACACTTCAAAGACAAGAATGAACAACACAAAGCGTGTAATTCAGACTTAATCTGTGGTCATGATTTCAAGTGAGATTTTCTCACACTCAATCCTCTTTGGAAATGGACCAACACGCTGTGATTTACATTATAATCAGAATCAGAATACCATTGTTCGTCCTCTGGAAATGTACAAAAGACACATGATGCTTATATCATCAACCAATCACTATTTGAGCTGCAGGGTGTCATTTATTTAATATGTAACTGATGGAAAGTCATGGTTAATACTTCATAAATATACTGTATGATGGAAAGCATTCATTTGATTTATATAATAAGCTACATCCCGGTCACATGACTTCCCGTCACCAGCGCTAAGCTAAAGGCCGCTAATGTTTGTCATGATGAACTTTAGTAGTCCTCTTTAGAAACTTGTTCGCAGCAACAGTCGTTTTATTGACACAAAGCTTCAGAAAATCACCAGTTTGGACGTATTTTATGTTGTTTAATTGTATTTAAACAGCTGTTATTGATGTGCATTGTCTAAATATATTATTCCTTGTCCTCACAGTACCTGTATTGTCTTGCGTTGTTGCGATCAACCTGTGGGGCACTCGAGGTGAGACCTTCAGTCCTGCTCGTATCTGGTAGAACCTGAGGGAGAACATATGGACATGTTACATTACATTATACTTGTTAGACGCTTTTATCCAAAGCGACTTACATACATTCAGTACTGTGGACAACCCCCACAGGAACAATTTGGGGTGAAGTGTCTTGCCCAAGGACACAGCGGGATGTTTGACTGCAGCGGGATTAGAACCAGTGCCCCCGTGATCTGAAGATCAGCACACTAACCACTGAGCCACAACCTCCCTTGGTGATATATAAAACGGTACTGTACAAATGTTCAGACTGATGTTCTTCCAAACAGCCTGGGGGTGTCAAGAAAACATAAAAGTAAGTAAAGTGAACATACTGTTGTTCACCATAGTGTCTTCAACAAAAAACCACCTGTATCCAATTGACTATTTATACGCATTGCTATTGTGAGGTTTTTCTTGAAGTCACATGACCTGGATGGAAAATGGAAAAACATCTATTTTTAAGATTCCTTTGTTTTTTGAGTTGTTAGCACCGGCCGAGAAAGAAGCCGTAACATTTTGCAGCAGATTCAAATCACACATTTTTTAACTTGCTTTTAAGATTCAAACTAATGATATTGAATGGCGACTGAGCCACTGACGTATACTGACTTCACAACCTTTACTTACTGTGTTTCAGATGAGCTTTTCTTGTTAAACATTTAAAGTGGTGCATCCAGTTTTGCAACAGGACACATGCTTTGTAAACGTATTTGTTGTCTAGAAAAGGTGTTGGTATATAAAGAATGCTCTATTGTGAAATGAAGAAGACATGTTTCCTGTTCACATGTTGACAAGTGTAGCATTTAAGCTTTTATCTAAGTAGTCCTTTTGACTTTGACAATAAGTCAACAATGTCTTGTGAAACATTAGCAGTCATCAATGTACAAGCTCAGCTAAATTATTTAAGTTCTACCTGCAGGGTGTTATTAATAATGAAAAACACATAATAATGTACCTACAGTATATGCAAAATCTGTTAAGTATACTATGCTATGAGATAAGCATCCTACATTAGTGCCAAACACCTAAAGATAAGATGAGAATGTATTGATACAGTAAATGTGGTGATTACTGTTTTAAAAAATACTTAGATTAAATACAAAAATAAACAGATAGCCGACGTAGAAAAATGATTTTCAACATGGCATCCCAGACCATAGGCAGCACTGGAAAACATGTCTTAGAAAAGGTCACTTTGACGGTCTAAGTCAAAGCAGCTTTGTATAAAAGCACATCTCATCTCCGGGGACACATCGGGCGATCTGAGGGAGCAAAGTGTGTGTGAACACACTCATCACATCAGTGTGTTAGTGGCAGCGCTGCTAAAGGCTGAGGCTCGGCAGAGAAGAGCACTGAAAGGTTTCTGAAGGTTGATGAATACATAACGGGATGTTTATGAAATGAAAAAGGTCAACCGGGTAACTGGTCAGAGACTATTCCTCTAGCTGTTACATCGAATGTTTATGGAACAGGTTCGTTCCTTTAGTTTGAATGTGTGTTTGGTGGCGTGATCATTATTATTTAGAGTCATTGCGTGCCTATTGATTTGAACACGATCCGTGTATCCATCATTTCCTGGTCTTCTCTAAAGAAGAGGGACCAATGAAAACGTTGTCATGGTGCCGTTGTTCAGCATGGAAACATTCATTAGCTAACAATGACATTATTGTTCTATTAATATAAAGGGAGGTCAGGTACTCTTTAAAACAGCTGCTAGTTATGGGTACTTTTTACTGAAGTACATTTCAAAGCCCTCTTTACTTTGACTTGAGTAAAGAAGTTTAGTCAGTACTTCTACTTTCACCAGAGTATTTTTAAACACGAGTATCTGTACTTCTACTTGAGTAAAGGACGTGTGTACTTTTGCCATCTCTGGGAATTTTACATGCTTAATAGTACATTTTAAATTAGCTACACTATAATTTACTTAAATAGTATCTGTTGTTTCAATTTGGTTTGCCCAATAGATTCATATAAAACTAGATGGGCCAAACAAAGTGAGTCATTTGGATCCACTCCATAATTCAAGGGGTATTTCCTCGGCCCATCCTTCCACCAACAGTCTTGAGAATTTGGCAATTATAGTTTCAATAAATGTGCTAGAAAACAACAAAAAGACTAAATAAAAACATAACCTCCTTGGTCGAGATGATCGTCTATGTTAGGAAAGATTTCACTCGTCACCGGCTTGAGCTTCAATATCAGGATACATGTATTTATTATCCTTGCAAGAATGGAAGTAGTCATCACACACAGAGCTGCATGGGACAAATAGTTCCCAGAGTAGTGTCCTTGACATGCTGATATACAAGAGAGTGTGTGACAGTCACAAGATACAAGAATACAAATTCAAAGCAGTATTCTGGCCTTAGTTCAGATTAGCTAAACCCTGCGTAAGCAATAAACATGACAGTCATATGCCTATCTGTCTAGGGCACATGTGTCAAACTCAAGGCCCGGGGGCCAAATCAGGCCCTTGGTGGATTTCATTTCGGCCCGCAGGATCATTTCTAATTACTATTAGATCTGGCCCGCCGGTATATTGCACGCACACCTTCACTCCATCCTGAGGGTCTCCTCAGCTCAGAGCCTGAGCCCAAACATTGATGACCTTGCACCCAAGATGAGATGCCAAGTATCTGAGCTAGCATCACAGAGCAGCACACTGAGTTTACATGTTTCCTTCTGCACTTTTTCTCTCACGACAACAGAGCATGTTTGGTTTGTTCTTTGAGGGAAATAGTTTTGTTGAAGCTGTTGTTGGCCTGTGGAGAAATGTAATCATAAGAAATGACTCTGGAAAAGCTGCAGATGGAGCCATAAGAAATGAATGCAACTGATTATTTAATGTTTCATGTTGTTTTTATAGGCAATCATTTAAGCTTTGTTAGTTCCAGGTTTAATATGTGCAATAACTTCATTTCAATAAGTTCTGCAATAAACATTGAACCAGTCCGGCCCTCCACTAGTACCCATTTTTTTATGTTGGCCCACTGTGTATTTGAGTTTGACCCCCCTGCTCTAGGGGCTGTGTCATCATGTTAATCGTTGTCACATACTGTAGCTATCATATGCCTAATGCATATTTTATTTTATTTATTTATTTATTTTTATTATATTATAACTTACTCATAACTCACATATTTAGCATATGTAACATTAAGCTGTCTGTGGCTCTTTTTCCTGCTGTAACTACGCACATTTCCCCTCCCTGGGACTAATAAAGGTATTCTGATTCTGAAAACAGTCCTGATGCTCTTCTAGGTAATCATACATCCTGTCATGTACACAGCTACGTAGGGCCTTTGTTATCATGTGCTACTCTGATATTAGAAGAGTACATTCAGTATTTCCCCCAACAGTCTACATTAATAAAATGCAGCTGGGATCTGAATTTGAGGATCTAAGTACTTATACTCTAACTTTGCCTCCAACTGTGAGAGCTAAAAGTCTAAAAATGAAATGCTGATTTAATCAGTTTTGAAATGCAATCAGTCTACAACTGGGCCCTTCAAAATGTACAGCTGTATGGTTCCCCAGTGTGATAGAGAGCTTTTTATTGATTTCAGTAATTACATTTCTGTGGAGCGAGTCCTAAACCAAACAAAACATATTTTTCCACAGTGATTATTGATTGTGTGATACTATGTTGAATATGTTATAACTATATGTGTATAGAAGTAATGTGATAAGTTTTCTTTCATTTTATTTAAGAATCTGAAATAACATTTCAAATACAGAGTCCTGGTTCCCAAAATTAGAATATATAGCTTAGCTACTACATTTAAATAAAACCATTAGTTTATATTAAATAGGGATAATTAAAACAGAAGTAACAACACTAAATGATACCAAAATAGTTATAAAATAAATAGGTACAAATAATTAAAACCAGGATACTCTCAAATTCAAGGTAACTGAATATATATATGTATATCAAATGTTTATCTGAAAGAAAGGGAATAAATATTATAGCTTTCTGTACCTTTTCCGAACAACGTCTGCTTTGTGTCTTTTCACCTTTGTTGCACAGTATCCATTTTCTCCTGAGCAACCTAGACTTCTGATGTGCTGGTCCACACACACTGACATTTCTACATTTATATTAGAGAGGTTTGATCGAAACTGATTCGTATAAATAATTCTGTGCTCAGCATTCACTTTTGGTGCATGTGTTACATTCATCTTTAGATATGGACTCACTTTTTTCCACATCCGATCTCTGCTGCTTTCTGAACTTGGTAACCGTCATAACAAACATATTAGTGTGCTGAGCTGAAGGGATTACCATGATAAAGCTTCAGAGTTTAGACCTCCCCATTTGGAGAGGGGGAATCATTTAGATGAAGCATTTCAGCCGGCCAGATGAGATATTTTAATCTTCCAGCAGACACATCAGCAGGAAAAACATGCTGCGTATTGAATGTCATAAAATATCATGAACAACTCGACTGGAAAAGTAAATTGGATTTCGCTCTTTTATTTACACTAGTTCTTATTTTAACCGAGCTACATTATTTTTAAAAAGAGCTGTAAAGTGTGACGCAGGATGTGTGATAAAAACACAGACAATACAGTAAAAAAAAGAACAATATATTTAGTATTATCTATAGTTAAGGGTTGAACGACCTTCATCTTGTATTGATATTCTTATTAAAACGAATATAACAGTTACAGGTACAATTCAGTACATATTTAAGTATAATAATAATATGTAAAGCGACCTTGGGTCCCCTGAAAGGCGCTATATACATTTAAGTTATTATTATTATTATTATTATATGTGATTAAAAGGGAGCTCAATATAGTAACATTGCACAAACTTGGCTAGATTCAAAACCAAAGAGAGCAGCTATTAAAATATGCTAGCTAGTTAGCAATTTCACTTTAGCTCAAGTTTTGTTTTATCTCCATTTTGTTTTACCAGCTGCTGCCGCATTAAATTAAGTGCAATAATAAACTGGATTGCCAAGACTTCGTACAAATTAATGATAACAATCAATTTGATAGGGGAAAATCAATGAGTGAGTTTCTAAGGGAAGGTGCATTTGTAGCTAAGCTAGCCATTTGATAGTTACTGCAAATTGCAAATGCTATTTTCACAAAAATCATACATTTCTTTGGTATAATACTTTATATGGTAAAGCATGGAAATAGTCTGATTCTGGTCTTAACTCAAATTTGACCAAATACACTGGATTTTGCCTTTTAGGGTAAGAAGGTTAATCTGTTTTCTGATTGGTAATGACATTCAGCCCATGCTGCTTTTTAAGCTGCCTTTTCATTAGACCTCGTGATGTCCTGACATACATTTCAGGGGATTATGGGTACTTTTTCCAGCATGCTGGAGAACATCCAGGTCATATGAAAGACATATTAATTTATTTTTGTGCAATGGAGTTCGCCAATTGTATGTCAACGCGTGTGGTTCATCATTTACCTGATACATTAAACTGTGGCTTCATCATTTCAAGAACTGTCATGTCCTCTTTAGTATTCACTCTTTAGGATGACCTCCAGTTATAGCAGATGGAGCAAAAGTCATTTTCTGCTTTGTCATAAAGTTGCTGTCAGTTTCAAAACCGTTGTACTGAGCGACTTAAGGTAGGTATCATTCATTTAAAGGTCACCTATTATGCAAAAATCCACTTTTCCACGTCTTTTCTACATCAACATGTGTCCCCTCTTCTTCATGTCTTTTCTACATCAACATGTGTCCCCTCTTCTTCATGTCTCTTCTACATCAACATGTGTCCCCTCTTCTTCATGTCTCTTCTACATCAACATGTGTCCCCTCTTCTTCATGTCTCTTCTACATCAACATGTGTCCCCTCTTCTTCATGTCTTTCTACATCAACATGTGTCCCCTCTTCTTCATGTCTCTTCTACATCAACATGTGTCCCCTCTTCTTCATGTCTCTTCTACATCAACATGTGTCCCCTCTTCTTCATGTCTCTTCTACATCAACATGTGTCCCCTCTTCTCATGTCTCTTCTACATCAACATGTGTCCCCTCTTCTTCATGTCTCTTCTACATCAACATGTGTCCCCTCTTCTTCATGTCTCTTCTACATCAACATGTGTCCCCTCTTCTTCATGTCTCTTCTACATCAACATGTGTCCCCTCTTCTTCATGTCTCTTCTACATCAACATGTGTCCCCTCTTCTTCATGTCTCTTCTACATCAACATGTGTCCCCTCTTCTTCATGTCTCTTCTACATCAACATGTGTCCCCTCTTCTTCATGTCTCTTCTACATCAACATGTGTCCCCTCTTCTTCATGTCTCTTCTACATCAACATGTGTCCCCTCTTCTTCATGTCTCTTCTACATCAACATGTGTCCCCTCTTCTTCATGTCTCTTCTACATCAACATGTGTCCCCTCTTCTTCATGTCTCTTCTACATCAACATGTGTCCCCTCTTCTTCATGTCTCTTCTACATCAACATGTGTCCCCTCTTCTTCATGTCTCTTCTTCATCAACATGTGTCCCCTCTTCTTCATGTCTCTTCTTCATCAACATGTGTCCCCTCTGTGGAAAGAGACTCTGAAAGTTTCAGGAACAAAGATTCTCTCTCTTTTTGATCCATTTATATAAAAACCTGTCTGAAAATGAGCTGATCAGATTTTGGCCACTTTATGATGTCATAACAATGTTTTGTCTTGTGTAACCATTAGCCAATCAGCAACCAAGGTAACCCCCCCCCCCCCCCCCCCTTATCACCTGAATCTCCTCCTAGAGCACCATTGTGTTCTTTGTAACCAAATCTCTCTCAGAGGGGCGTGGGGAGGGGCTCCTTAGTTTCATCTAAAGTAACAGACAGAGAATCAGCACTTTTGAAACAGGGCTGAAACAGAGGGGATTATGGGTAATGCTGCAATGATCTGTCTGGTGTTTGGAGCCAAACACTTCAGAGATATGTTCTGTATATATCTAAGAGCTGTAATATATTGATGAAAAACAGTATACTAGGGGACCTCTAAGTTCAGTTTTTTGCAAACATCTTTTTAGAAGAGAAAAAGTCAAACTAATAAAACTGTTTGTATCCTTTGTCAGCATTCAACGTTAATACGCTCTGTGAATCTGCTGAGTTGCGAGGTTGTGAAGTCAGGAAATATAAACAAATTTCATGACTCTGGAAGTGTGATTTCTGCTTACCCGCGTTGAAAGAGATCCACATTGTGAAACTTGTGCAACTCGACAGAAAACTCCAGTGTTCCCTGTACTTCAGACATGATATAATCCCACTCATCACCTGCCAAAGAGAAAGAGAGGAAACACAGTAAATAAGACATAAAATGAGCAGAATCCACCGTGAAAGATAACACAAATGATGACATTTCTAAAATAAGCTCAAACTAGTATTGTCTGTTTGCTGAGGTGATATGACTCATTCAGTCCAGTGTGCAGAAAGAACTGTACAAGACACACATATTATTAATTGAAATCACGATCACTGCTCAAATAAATGTTGGAGAAATAATCAAAACCTTATAATTTCATTATTTTAGAGGTAAAACTCTCTTTGTTGCATGTCCAAATAAGCGTTGAGGGGATTTAAGTTCAGCCTCCGTTGTAAATGTTCGCCCTTCGATTCATTGTTTTCATTCAAAGGCCTGAAGTATCCTCAAGCTTTCTCTGTGTTCCAGTCGTTCTGAGTTAAAGTTTAGGTCTGCTTTTGATTTTCTAGAAGCTTTTACAGAGACTTTTGTAACTTGTTGAGTATGAATTTCTAAAAAAACGAAGGTCTTCCTATCTTGTTTGATTTGAATGTTTGCTCTATGTAGGTTTGAAATGGCAGACACGATTTGTAGGACATGTTGTACCCAAGAAAAATGATGGTTTGTAAGCAATGATTTCGTCTATCTGTTTAAACTTTATGCAGGTTTTTTGTTGAGTGTAACCCAAAACCTATTTTGTGATCATACAGAACTATTATAGGTGTACCAAGACTAAAACATGAAGATATCTCAAATGTACACATCCATTGCCCTTTTGCCCTTAAAGCGACAAATAAAAGTGTTTCTCTCACTATTTATCAATCTAGAATATAACGGAGAAATATGGTTCTAAATTTGCGGTGCTCAAAGCGCAAAAAAAACACATTAAAACACATTTAATAGTGATGTATCTTTCGATAACTCTTGAACTGGTTACTCAAGATGATCCAACGGTATCTCAGACTCACATTAAACAAATCTAGATTGATAAATAGCACTAAGAGAATATGTTTTGGGATGGTTGAACTGATTAGGTATTCAGCTCAGTGTTTATTGAGCATTGACTAAAATGACCATTAAAACATAAAAATACAGGCTCATGTTAAAATGGTAATTGCAACACCTCATTGAGAAAATTGCAGGCAAAAACTAAAATAGCGTAAATGCATCAGACCATTGAAAAATAATTTGTCTAAAAGAACCTGCGGTCAATATATCCGAGGCTCGCTGAGGCTCAATTCAATTCATGTAAACAGTGTTTTCCATTAGCAGTGATTGAAGCTCAGTGAATAAAAATCACATCCGAACAAGAACCCTCCAATTTGTAATTCACTCAAACCATTAGGTCTTATAAGAAGATGAAATGCAGTAAAAACTGACTTTCCACCTGACAAAAGGAGATGAAACATTTACAGTGTTCACAGTAAAGCGTCTCAAATGACCCCTCAATGTCACATGATCCTTGCATGTGTGTTTTAAAGGTCCCCTATTATACTGTTTTTCATCAATATATTATAGGTCTCAGATATATACAGAACATGTCTCTGAAGTGTTTGGCTCCAAACACCAAACAGATCATTGCAGCATTACCCATAATCCCCTCTGTTTCAGCCCTGTTTCCAAAGTGCTGATTCTCTGTCTGTTACTTTAGATGAAAATAAGGAGCCCCTCCCCACGCCCCTCTGAGAGAGATTTGGTTACAAAGAACTCTATGGTGCTCTAGGAGGAGATTCAGGTGATAAGGTGGGGGGGGTACCTTGGTTGCTGATTGGCTAATGGTTACACAAGACAAAACATCGTTATGACATCATCAAGTGGCCAAAATCTGATCAGCTCATTTTCAGACAGGTTTTTATAGAAATGGATCAAAAAGAGAGAGAATCTTTGTTCCTGAAACTTTCAGAGTCTCTTTACACAGAGGGGACACATGTTGATGAAGAAGAGACATGAAGAAGAGGGGACACATGTTGATGTAGAAGAGACATGAAGAAGAGGGGACACATGTTGATGTAGAAGAGACATGAAGAAGAGGGGACACATGTTGATGTAGAAGAGACATGAAGAAGAGGGGACACATGTTGATGAAGAAGAGACATGAAAAAGAGGGGACACATGTTGATGAAGAAGAGACATGAAGAAGAGGGGACACATGTTGATGTAGAAGAGACATGAAGAAGAGGGGACACATGTTGATGTAGAAGAGACATGAAGAAGAGGGGACACATGTTGATGAAGAAGAGACATGAAGAAGAGGGGGACACATGTTGATGTAGAAGAGACATGAAGAAGAGGGGACACATGTTGATGTAGAAGAGACATGAAGAAGAGGGGACACATGTTGATGAAGAAGAGACATGAAGAAGAGGGGACACATGTTGATGTAGAAGAGACATGAAGAAGAGGGGACACATGTTGATGTAGAAGAGACATGAAGAAGAGGGGACACATGTTGATGTAGAAGAGACATGAAGAAGAGGGGACACATGTTGATGTAGAAGAGACATGAAGAAGAGGGGACACATGTTGATGAGAAGAGACATGAAGAAGAGGGGACACATGTTTATGTAGAAGAGACATGAAGAAGAGGGGGACACATGTTGATGTAGAAGAGACATGAAGAAGAGGGGACACATGTTGATGAAGAAGAGACATGAAGAAGAAGGGACACATGTTGATGTAGAAGAGACATGAAGAAGAGGGGACACATGTTGATGAAGAAGAGACATGAAGAAGAGGGGACACATGTTGATGTAGAAGAGACATGAAGAAGAGGGGACACATGTTGATGTAGAAGAGACATGAAGAAGAGGGGACACATGGTGATGTAGAAGAGACATGAAGAAGAGGGGACACATGGTGATGTAGAAGAGACATGAAGAAGAGGGGACACATGTTGATGTAGAAGAGACATGAGGAAGAGGGGACACATGTTGATGTAGAAGAGACATGAAGAAGAGGGGACACATGTTGATGTAGAAGAGACATGAAGAAGAGGGGACACATGTTGATGAAGAAGAGACTGAGGAAGAGGGGACACATGTTGATGTAGAAGAGACATGAAGAAGAGGGGACACATGTTGATGAAGAAGAGACATGAGGAAGAGGGGACACATGTTGATGTAGAAGAGACATGAAGAAGAGGGGACACATGTTGATGAAGAAGAGACATGAAGAAGAGGGGACACATGTTGATGTAGAAGAGACATGAAGAAGAGGGGACACATGTTGATGTAGAAGAGACATGGAGAAGTGGATTTTGCATAATATGTGACCTTTAAGACAAAGATACAGTAAGTGAAATGCAGTAACACGTACTTTCCACCTGACAAAAGGAGATGAAACATTTAAACTGTTCACAGTGAAGAGTCTCAAATGACCCGTCAATGTCACATGATCCTTGCATGTGTGTTTTAAGGGCTTTGTTCCTGTAAGTTGAGACTCAGATAGATGCACCTGTACTGTTGCTGGGCCACCATTTGTGCATTACGACCATTCCTCTAGCTAGCTTAAAAGCATAACCCTGTTTCAGTCCACTTTCCTTTAAGGAGTGAAGATTTATGTCAACAGGACGGTTTTATTTTACCAGGGCTCACACACTGGGGTATTGTCTGAAGTTAATTTGCTTGCACTAAAATGGAAAAGTTCCTGCCAATTACAGTTTGCTCCAGCTTGCATATATCCTGTGAGTACCATCAGTCTTCCTACTGAGGCCTGTAGCTAGTTAGCTAATTAAGCAAGAGCTCAATTCAATGGTTGATAACACTGACTTTTTAATGTTTTCAGCAGACTCCATTTGAAAGAGAACCTGGTTAAAGGAGTGATGCAAGGTGTCAGTGACAAAGCAGTAAGGCAACAGGCCACAGGAGTTGTTTAAAGTGGACCTATCATGCTATTTTTAGGCAATAGCATAGGTCTCAGATATATAAAAATATATAAAAAACATGTCTATGAAGTGTTTTGCTCAAAATACCAAACAGGTCACCCATTCTAGCCATGCCTCATATCCCTCTATTTCACTTCCTGTTTCACTCAACAAAATGACGTGCTACAATGACAAACCAAGGAACATATATAGTGGCTCGGCCAAACCAAGTTGAAACCAAGGGGAAATTAAGATGAACAGAATACAAAAAGGACACTGACAAAACGCAAATCCCCCCTTTGTCATTGAAGCAGGTGGTTTGTCCCAATCTGTCCCAATTGGCTGCTTGCAGTATTTATGAGTCCTCGGTGCTCAGCCATTCCTTTTTCTGAACCAGGAAGTAACCTCCCATAACAGCCACGGTAACACATAGACAGAGAAAGTAATTCATACGAACAAAAACTTGTGTTAACTGTGCTAAAACGTTTGAAAATAATGTCAGATTACAAGCACATAAAGAGATGCCATCTTAATCAAATGTGTGGTGTTAATTAGTGATGTTACGTTCGTGAACGATCCGATTCTTTTGAAAGGCTCTTTGGTACGAGCGAAGGGAACCGAGTCCTACTTGGTGAGAGCCGTTGTTTTTATCGTTGGTTCACTGCCTGCCATAAATCCACTCGCCTTTACGGGAACTTGCTTTCCTGAGTGCACATTTGCCGTATAGATGATGGCATAACGCGTGCTGCTTGCGTAGTAGTTTGGCTGAGAGATGTAGCAAGTTATACATTTTTCTGTGAGTAAAAGTAGATTTCTGGCAATACAGTCAATCATTATCCTGGTGATTATTTCGCAGATAAACCTATTAACCCCGCCCCTTAAAAAAAAAAATGGCTCATTTGAACGGCTCTCGGAAAGGAACGGAGCCATAAGATCCGGCTCCCTTCAAAGAGCCGTAATTCCCATCACTAGCATGTTTTACAGCATCTGAACTGAAGCATCACTACTGAAGGTGAGGGCGCAGTGTAATTGTTTTAATGGGCTGTGGCCATCACACAGGAAAATGTATAACATCACAGTAAATGTAAACACTTACTGTTGTATAAGCTAACGATTAGCTTAAAGACATTAAAAAGTAATGCTACAAAGTACATTTGTATTTCGTTGTATTGT